ACAGACTGTAAATAATGACTTTGCCCCTCTTTGGCTTTTTTAAGAGGAGAAAACTGGCAACCCCCTAGCCAGCTGAGAAGGAAATCTGTTTCAATGTGACCTTCTTTCCAACATGATTGAGACATTAGGCTGTTTTGTGATTGCTTCAGTGTAAAACTCCTAAACATTGTACCTTTAATTTGGTGTGATTGTGACATGGCATTGTTCTTGATAGTGTGATTCCTTCTCTTCATGAGGTTAGGACTTATTTCCTGCCAGTGGAATGACGTAAATCTGAACCTTCTAGTATCATGTGTACTATAGTACCTGTCTGATAAATTCCCAGAGGCTTGCTCAGAGGCAGGTCCTTCTTGAAACAGCTTGACTGTGGTAAATTGATATCATAATGTCACTGTTTGATTGTTTTTGAGGCACTTCATTTTCAAACCAATATGGAGTTAAATCAGAATTGGTTCAAAGTCATTTGAACATCTGGTGAAAACCAATCATCACACAGCAGCGCTGAGCAATATGGTGTGAGTTTCACAATATTCATATAATCTTTTTTTAATCATAGTGGGATCGTCGTCGTTGTCGTCTTCCTCCGCTTATCCGGGTCCGGGTTGCGGGGGCAGCATCCCAACTAGGGAGCTCCAGGCCGTCCTCTCCCCGGCCTTGTCCACCAGCTCCTCCGGCAGGACCCCAAGGCGTTCCCGGACCACATTGGAGATGTAACCTCTCCAACGTGTCCTGGGTCGACCCGGGGGCCTTCTGCTGGCAGGACATGCCCGAAACACCTCCCCGGGGAGGCGTCCAGGAGGCATCCTGACCAGATGCCCAAACCACCTCAACTGGCTCCTTTCGATCCGGAGGAGCAGAGGTTCTACTCCGAGTCCCTCCCGAATGTCCGAGCTCCTCACCTTATCTCTAAGGCTGAGCCCGGCCACCCTACGGAGGAAACTCATTTCGGCCGCTTGTATCCGCGATCTCGTTCTTTCGGTCATTACCCAAAGCTCATGACCATAGGTGAGGATTGGGACGTAGATCAACCGGTAAATCGAGAGCCTGGCTTTCTGGCTCAGCTCCCTCTTCCCCACGACAGATCGGCTCAGCGTCCGCATCACTGCAGACGCCGAACCAATCCGCCTGTCGATCTCCCGATCCCTCCTACCCTCACTCGTGAACAAGACCCCGAGATACTTAAACTCCTCCACTTGAGGTAGGACCTCTCCCCCGACCCGGAGGTGGCAAGCCACCCTTTTCCGGTCGAGAACCATGGTCTCAGATTTTGAGGTGCTGATCCTCATCCCAGCCGCTTCACATTCGGCCGCGAACCTACCCAGCAAGAGCTGAAGGTCAGAGGTGGATGAAGCTAGGAGGACCACATCATCCGCAAAAAGCAGAGACGAGATTCTCCTGCCGCCAAACTCGACACACTCCACACCACGGCTGCGTCTAGAAATTCTGTCCATAAAAGTGATGAACAGAACCGGTGACAAAGGGCAGCCCTGGCGGAGTCCAACCCTCACTGGGAACAGGTCCGACTTATTACCGGCTATGCGGACCAAACTCACGCTCCTCTGGTAAAGGGACTGAATGGCCCTTAACAGAAAGCCACTCACCCCATACTCCTGGAGCGTCCCCCACAGGGTGCCCCTGGGGACACGGTCATAAGCCTTCTCCAAATCCACAAAACACATGTGGATTGGTTGGGCAAACTCCCATGCCCCCTCCATCACCCTTGCAAGGGTATAGAGCTGGTCCACAGTTCCACGGCCAGGACGAAAACCACATTGCTCCTCCTCTATCTGAGATTCAACTATCGATCGGACCCTCCTATTCAGTACCTTCGAGTAGACCTTTCCAGGGAGGCTGAGGAGTGTGATCCCCTATAGTTGGAACACACCCTCCGGTCGCCCTTCTTAAAGACTACCACCCCGGTCTACCACTCCACAGGAACTGCCCCCGATGACCACGCAATGTTGCAGAGACGAGTCAACCACTACAGCCCTCCCACATCCGTAGCCTCGAGATACCCAGGACGAATCTCATTCACCCCCGGGGCTCCGCCGCTGTGTAGTTGTTTGACTACCTCAGCAACTTCTGCCGCAGGGATTGGACAGTCCATCCCCAGGTCTCCCGACTCTGGCTCCTCCTCGGAATGTGCATAGGCAGGATTGAGGAGCTCCTCAAAGTACTCCTTCCACCACCCATCTATAACCCCAGTTGACGTCAGCAGCTCCCCATCCCCACTGTAAACAGTGTGAGCGAGTTGCTGCTTCCCTCTCCTGAGGCGCCGGACAGTTTGCCAGAACCTCTTTGGCACAGATCAATAGTCTTTCTCCATGTCCTCGCCAAACTCCTCCCACGCCCGAGATTTAGCCTCGGCAATTGTCACTGCTGCACCCCACTTGGCTATCCGGTACCCATCTGCTGCCTCCGGAGACCCACAGACCAGCCACGCTCTGTAGGCCTCCTTCTTCAGCCTGACGGCTCCCCGAACCTCTGGTGTTCACCAGCGGGTACGGGGGTTGCCACCACGACTGGCACCTGCCACCTTGCGACCACAGCTAGTAACAGCCGCCTCAACAATCACAGGGTGGAACAAGGCCCACTCGGAGTCGAGGTCCCCCACTGCTCTCAGGACGCGGTCAAAGCTCTGTCGGAGGTGGGAGTTAAAGACCGTCTGACAGGTTCTTCTGCCAAGCATTCCCAGCAGACCCTCACTATGCGTTTGGGTCTGCCAGTTCTACACGGCATCGTCCCCTGTCTTCTGATCCAACTCACCACCAGGTTGTGATCAGTTGACAGCTCCGCTCCTCTCTTCACTCGGATGTCCAAAACATACGGCCGCAGGTCAGATGATACAACTACAAAGTCTATCATCGACCAGCGATCTAGGCTGCCCTGGTACCAAGTGCACCAATGGGCATCCTTATGTTCGGACATGGTGTTCGTTATGGCCAAACTGCGGCTTGCACAGAAGTCCAATAATGAAACACCACTCGAGTTCAGATCAGGCGGGGGCCGTTCCTCCCAATCACACCCCTCCAGCTCATGCTGTCAATGCCCAAGTGAGTATTAAAGCCCCCCGGCAGGACAATGCAGTCCCTTGATGGAGCACTATTTAGCACTCATCCCAGGGACTCCAAAAAGGGTGGGTAATCTGAACTGATATTTGGCGCATAAGCACAAACAACAGTCAGGACCCGTTCCCCGACTCGAAGGTGCAGGGAAGCTACCCTCTCGTCCCCCAGGGTAAACCCCAACACACAGGCAGAGAGTCTTGGGGCTAACAAAAGGCAACCCCAGCCCTATGCCTCTCACCCGGAGCAACTCCAGCAAAGGAGAGTGTCTAACCCCTCTCAAGGACTTGGGTTCCAGAGCCAATGCTATGTGTCGAGGTGAGTCCGAGGTGTATGTGCCATTTTCATTTTTAATATGAAACCAAAAGCTGCAATATATATTTGTGTAATCAAGTGTTTTCCTCTAGACTCTGTTTGCTATTAATTAAAGTTCTTTCAAACAAAATGTTAAAGTTTTCTCCCCACTTATTGAAGTAGTTAAACATTTAAAATTTCAACCCCAGGGTTCTCAGGTATTATATAACCAAAGTGTATTTCTGTTGTTAGTTTTTAAAAATCTTTATGTTCATGCAGAAAATCAGAGAAAACAAAGTGATCAAATGGACGTTGGCCATGTTCTGGTAAAATAAATCCCAAAATAAAAACACATTCAAAAATTAAATCAACATTATTTTTGAATAGTATAGATAATTTGAAAACACTTTAGAACAATCTAGCTAATTTTAAAACATATCACTGTAGAATAATACAATTATATCACAATTATTAAATAATATAATTTTTTAAAATACAGATTGCTGTAGAATATTAATGAAGATTTATTGAACATTAGATACACTTCCTGATCTGCGAGGAATTTGAGGATCTGCCTCAATGTCATCTTCCTCCTCTCCATCATTACTGATGGCGAGATTTGCTGGCACCATAACTATCCTCCATTTTCCATAGAAATCTTAGTTTAAAACTGCTAAATAAATTCAATGTCATAATTTGTATTGTTACTGTTACCATGAATATTAAGATTATGTCTAAAGACAATACATTTAAACCATAAATGTGCATGATTTATTTTACTTGTCAGATGAATTTTCAAATATGGCAGCTTTGATTTTCAAGCCATGACTTCACCAACTTTACTGAGTTTAACTTTTACACACATATCCTTGTTTAGCGTAACTACTCAAGCTTTGATGTGCGGTTTTCATAAACCTAGCAGTTATAGAGGTACAGTATTGCCGCAAACATACGAGGAAACCAAGCAGTTTTCTAGTTCTGCAGACCCACCAATATTTGGCAAATCATAGCCCTGCACTAATTGGTCAAATGGTCCCATGGCACAAACTGTGACTAGGTTGATCTCTGATGATTGGTTAGGTGATATCCTGTAATTCTAAAAGTTTATGAAAAGGCACACCAGCATCCTTTAATGATTTCAGTTAACCCTGTATGTGTCTGCAACTTAATCGGATAAAGTTAAAGTCCCCCATTAGTCGTCATGACACACTGGTGAAATGACATAATGTTAAACGTGTTGGATAAACACAAGCATCAGAAGCTAAACGATGTTTAGGAATTTTTCTCTTTTTGAACAACCTTAAGAGAAAAAGAGGAAGGGCTATTTCACTGAAGTGACACAAGCTAGAGCAGTCATGATTGCACTGATGATCAAAGACATGCTCTAGTGTTCACAAAGTAAGCGGTAAAACCCACATGTTCATGCACGTGTACGTCCACCTTTGATTGGAAGCAACAGGCTCTGGTCTGTGTCTATGGGGACTGTCACAAAGCATTTGGCAAACTCAGAAAATCATTAAATGAAATGGAGGTGAACAAGGTAAGAAGACTGTGCTTGTGGTGGGTCGATGAAGTCTAAAGCTATAGTTTAATACATGGTGTCCCTCATGTTGGGATTTATAGAAGCCTTTGATGACTCACCTCTTGTTGCAAATCCTTGATGATTTTGGTTTTCTTCTCCATCTCAACTTTCAGAAATTTAATCTGAGGACAAAAAAAAAAACACACAATCATACCAATAAGCCAGTAGTGAGTGTTTGTGCTTGTGTGTTTGAGGCAGTAATGGAATGTGTTAAAGATTATTAATGCCAACATTGAAATTAAATAGTTATACTGAATGCATTTTATTGTTGTCTGAAATGCCACCACTTACTTCTGATGAAAAAAGGGTCACAAATCACAAATAAAAACATGTGAAAAATCTCTATAATTAGGTCTGTGGTAAAGTGTTTGGCAAACAATTCTCAAGCCTCTAAGGGAAATAAAACCACCATTTATAATATTCTTCTACATTTTAGGTACTAAAATAGGCACGCGTTACCTCAGTGGTGACATCAGCCATCTTTATGGTGTGGTTTGTTGGAGCAGCTATTGCTGAGAGGCAGAGCCTAGCTCTTTAAGAAGGTCAGCTCTGTCCTACAGGCCGTCTTTTTTACACAGTAATTTTTATTTTTTTTTTAAACATGAAAAACAGTTTTGAATTTTTTCTGTTACTTTTTCTTTTTTACTTTTTATTATCCTTTACTCTTCTTTTTACTTCTGTAATTCTGTTTTCTATTCTATTCTATTTTCTATTCTATTCTATTTTCGTCTAATTTGTGGAAGCCATGGAATGGTTGTTAGATTTACACTCTATATTTATGCATATGTTTTAAAGAAAGTCATATTTAGATGTTTTCTTTAAAATGATGATCAGTTATTCACATTTAACATTAAACATCTGGGTGACTTCGGTCTCATGCGGGTGGTTTTTGTTCACATATGATTCCCAAGGACTTCTCAGGAATGTGGAAATGCCCCAGCTCATGGGCAGCGTTAAATACGTGCCGGGAAATCCGTGGTGTCGTGAGCTGTGTTGCTTTTGGAGATTTTGAACCACAATTTTGAAATTAATTTGCTCCCTGTTCTCTCACTGCCGTGAGTGTCCTCAACCCCCCCCCCCCCCCCCCCCCCACACACACACACACACACACAACCATCACCCCTCCATTCCTCTCCTCTGACCGTTCTCACCATCACCCACCCCCCACCCCCCACATTGTAGCAGGAACTCCATGCAACAGTTTGCAACTGTTTACTTGACAGCAAACAGAATGAAAATGAATTGTGCATGCGGGAATCCCCCGCTGACCCCTGCTACCTGATTCTACTCACCAATTGAAGATGGTAGGTGTTAATTTCAGCCAGCCAATCAGTGTCTAATTTAAAGTGAGAGTGTGTATTTTTACTGTTGATAGGGGACAGTACATACCTGAATCATTGCAAACAAGCAGTATTTTTGTGATGGAGTGAGCCCTTACCAAGGGATGCCCATTAGGGTAGGAAAGTGCAAACATTAGCAAAAAACAAGCACATCAGGCTCCCTTTCATCACTGGCAACAAGTGAAGAGGTAAATGTGTAAAACAACAACATTTAAGAATGACAAAAGTTTTGTAACTTTTTAAAAACCAGTGAACGCATTTTGTTCTCATGGGCTCACGTAGAAGAAAACATGGCATCTAATACGGTTTTGCTTAGACTTAGACCCACTCCCATGTATTATAGACCTGATTTTTATGGTTATATGTTACAAAGCCGCCAATATTTTTCGACAACTGGGCATCATTTCATTCATTTTCAACAACATTTTGATGGTTATTTCCAGAAATTAATGGTAAAAACTACACATTGTCTCTTTAAGGGCGAGGCCACAATGGTCCCGGCTGGACCTCCGGGGAGGAGGTCTGGAAAAAAGGTTTGGGACTGACAGGAAAACTCAACAATGACTGAGATCTGAACAAACCTTACCCTTCCGGGTCTGGCCCATTCCAACCCAGATGTGAAAGTGGCTAAAACGCACATTCAGTTATTGTTATTGCCCTTTAGTGTAAAACATACACCATTGTAGAATGCTTACATTTGTACATTTGCCTTATTAATTTGACTGATTACAGTGTATAAATACTGTTCTGGCGTGATCTACTGGATCCCAGACATAAAGCTCAGTCAACATTTGATTTGTCCTCTATCCTTTATTTAGTCAGAATGAGTAAAACTCATGTTTACATTTCCACAGTGAGATTTAAAGTCCTGTAATAAATGAACAGGGTTTGTTTTAAGCTAGCAGTGCCAGAAAAATGATTTGATGCAGAATAAAATCAAACCAAAATAGCACGACTCAGAAGTTCAGATTGATGCTAATCAAGCCTTAAAGGGTTTTTCAGCTCCAATCGAAACTGTCATGTAAGATATTTTCCCCCATCTCTCACAAAGTTCATCGTTTAAACAAATGTTTAGTGATGTTTACTTAGAAGTTCATTGATTTTCACACATAGAATCTTGAGACATTTCATCCTTTAGTGAGCAAATGTTCATGTGACACGCTGTGCCTGCTTCACTGGCCCATATTTTTGTCACGTCAGAGGGATATCTTTGTTTATACCAATCCTTTTATCAACAGCTCAGCATGTCTTGTTATTGCATGCGTGAAGCTTCTGTCTGTGTGCTTGTTTTAGCCAAATGGAGGATCAAACACCTACCACAGATGGTAAACTCCTGCCATGGGCATCCACACAAATGAATTTGTTGTGTGTTTAAGACGAATAGGCCGAGGTTTGGGGTCTGTTGATTCATTTTTATAACAGGATTTTTACAGTGTTGTGTGTCCTTGGGACGATAGTCCTGAGGATAGTCATGAAAAAAAAAGAAGATTCATGGGGCTGGTGACCTCATGCCAGGTACACACCCCAGGGAATAGTTAACCAAGTCTCACCAGTTGACTCACATCCTCAAGCAGGGCACGATAACATCAAGGTTCATGTTTGAGCTTTGAGTTTCATTCAATGCCACAGCCTGAGGGAACAGCGAAAAAAACCAACAACAGGAAAAAATACTGGCGCTGCTCCCAGGGCTTTAGGTAAAAGGATAAATAAAAAATGGAAAATCACCAGTTTAGTGTGTTCAACACGGTGAGACGAATCGTTCTTCCTTTTTATTGCTAAATTTTAGCTACAGAAATTACTGCATGTAGTAAGTAAGTACATTTTATTTTTATAGCACTTACACATAGAATCACAACGTGCTTCACATAGATCAAAACAAAATGAAACAAAGTCATAAAATCACAATGACCTCAAAACAGAAATAGATTAACATCAGAAAAAAAAAAGTCATAAAATTACAATATTTCATAAACAGGTGAAAGATGATTACAAATTTGAGTTTAAAATAAGAAAATAAAAGATTTAAAAAAGCAGCTTTAAATAAAAGGGCCTTTAGCAGTTTTTTTAAAAAGTGTCAAGACTGTCAATGCTACGTAAGGATAAAGGAAGATCATTCCAGAGTCGGGGTGCAACAGTCTGGAAGGAGCTATCACCTCGAGTTTTAGATCTGGTCTTTGGAACTCAGAAGGTTCTGGTGTGTGGACCTGAGGGTTCGGGTTGGAGCATAAGGCTTTAACAGTTCAGTAATATAGGGAGGAGCCTGACCATGTAGAGCATTGAACGTTATAATCAGGATTCTAAAATGAACTCTAAAGCTAACGGGTAACCAGTGCAGAGACATTAGAGTAGGAGTGATGTGTGCTCTTCTGTTTGCTCCAGTTAGGAGCCTCGCTGCAGAGTTCTGGATGGCGGTCAAGTTTTTTTTGTTGTTGTTGTTAAAATATGTGAAGAGTGTGTTACAGTAATCTAGATGGGAGGAGATAAAGGCATGGATCACCATTTCAAGGTCATGTTTTGACACCAACCTTCGCAGTTTGGAGATATTTCTTAAGTGATAAACACAGTTTCAGACCAATGTTTCTGAGTGGCCTTCAAGAGACATTGATTGGTCAAAAACAACACCCAAATTCCTTAAGTTCGCCTTGAGGGCAGGGGATAAATGACCAAGTTTAAGACTAATCAGGGGAACCATGCTCTCAGAGGCAATGATCAGACATTCAGTCTTTTCAGAGTTTAACTCAAATGGGCGGGCCCCGTGTGGGGATCTGGGCGAGGACTTGGGGATATGGTCCTGACTCATATGCTGCCGGGAAGAAGGCAGGAACAAACGACAGTGCATGGCCCAGGCTGAGAGGGCCTCAGGTGGACCTTGGCTCCTCTGAAATAATACCAACTCTGTGTCACAATCTGCTCCTGCCTCCCTGACTGTGTCTCTCCCCTGCCTGATTAGTCTTTATTGTTCTCACCTGCCCCGTGTTAATCCGCCCATATGTTCCTGATCTTCCCCTGTGTATTTATACCTCCCTTCTTGTATCAGTCTTTGTCGGATCATTGTTTGTTGTCAGCATTGTTTTGTTCTGTCGTTCCCGCTCTGCCATTAAAACCATTTTTACTTTATCCAAGCCTGCATTTTTACCTCCTGGTCAGCTCCTCCACACATGGTCCGCCGTCATCCACACCCTCAACGTGACACTCTGTCCCATCACGGATGGGTTTTGTTTTTCTCTTTCTGCAGGTCTAGAAACTAGTATCCGGCTCATCCCTAATGTTTATGTTCATTTAAGGACCATGTACAATATTAAGCATAAATATTGAAATTTGATGCATTGTACCAGATTTAGCTTGAAGCTAATTCATATCTGCTGTCCTGAATGAATGAGTGTTATCTTATCCATCCATACATTGTCTGAACCCACTTTGTGATGCCTATCTCCAGCGGTCAATGGGCAATCAGGCGGGGTACACCCTGTACAGAGAGCCAGTCCATCGCAGAGTGTTATCGTATGTTACGTCATATTTATTTTACTCCATGCCATTCTCTGAACCAGAGCGTATACCCACCTGTGGTCACTGACAGGGCAGCAGTGAGGAATTTAGAAAATAGAAACAGTCATAAACTGGGCAACATGAGGCAAGGGTTCACACTTTGCAACACAATTCAGAGTTTAAATTGTCGTTTGAAATGAGTCCTTTTGAAGTTCCTGTTTAGTGATAAATGTAAAAAAAAAACTAATCCGTTTAATTATGATTTTTTTTTACATTTAAGCTAAATTTTTACAGAG